TTTCTCGATAATAACGAGATCACATCTGAGACTCTACTTCGAAAAGCCGGTCAATAACATAAAAAACTGGGGACGATAAGGAAAAGTTTGGACGAATTGCAAAAATCAGAAGAAAAAAATGTTTTCTAGGGGAATTTCAAGCTAAATTCGTGCAAATTGTGATACAATTTTAGTAAAAATACTCACCTTTGACGGTTAAAGCCGAAAGTCGAAAATTCGCAGCTTTTTTAGCTGAATGTAGAAAAAATACTGCGAAAGTGCCGTAAAATCAGCTGGAGCAATTATCGATCGGCGAGAGCCCAGAGCGGGAGAGTGGGTAGATTGTGCGGCGGCGTGCGTTAGAGCGCAGAGTCAGTGTCAGAGACGCAGGGGCAAGGTTATTGCGGCTTTCGACCAACAGGCAAATATCGGGCCGCTAGCCAGCGTGGCCTTAGGACCGCCCCACCGTCCGCAGAGAACTGCACTGTATGTATAGTAGGATTATTATCGATTGGAATAGACTTGTTGCTCTAAATTCAAGCTCCAGTAAGTTCCCCGACTTCTTTTCGAACTCCGGACTCACGCAGAGCAACCTACTCATGAGGATAATACACTTGACATCATCCTTACAACCTCCCCTCTTGTGCACAGTATTACTGTCCGTCCCCCCTTATCTACATCCGATCACTCAACTATACACTTCCTTGTGGATCTCACTTGTCCCGTAACTTCTTCAATCCCACTGGCTGATTTTCTGCAGGTAACTATGCCTTGCTGAACCAAAGGTTCGATGAAATAGATTGGTTGAAGGAATTTCAATACATTTCCGCATCTGAAGTATACTGCAGATTTTGTTCAATAGTCTACAGAATATTTGGATCTTTTGTTCGACTGAGACACCAGCGATCAGCACTATTAAGTTTTCCTAGTCATATCCAAAACCTTTTTTCTAAGAAGCACCGCGTCTTTTATAATTCAGAAAACCCACTAAATGATCCTTATTACAAAAAAATATGCTGTGATATAGATCATCACTTGAAAAAGTTCTGGGCGAACTATGAGCGACGATTAGCATCACACTCTTCAATGAAATATCTCCATGTTTATCTTCGAAATAAAATGAAATTTTCTGGACGTCCGTCTGTTTTAACCGACAACAATGGGTATAAGTGCTATAATGATTCTGACAAGGCTAAGGCGCTGGGAGATTATTTTGCTAGCGTTTTTTCTCCGGAAAATCCAAGCAACGAGTCAATGCTTCGCAGCTTTAGTTACACGAAACCAGGTCTAAGTGATATCTACTTTCATCCATATGATATTTATAAGGTACTGAAACATCTTAAACCCTCCATTACTGAACCGTACGATGGGATTCCCCCTATCGTTTTCAAAAAGTGTGCCTCGTCCCTCTCAAAACCTTTGGCTCATCTATTTAATATCTCATCTCTCTTGGCTGAAGTCCTGTGGAAAGAAGCTCTAGTTACAGGTACCCCAAAGCTCCAGGTGCACAATCGGTCTCTGAATTCCGTCCAATTAGTCTCACTTCAACTCCGATCAAAGCAATGGAAAAAATTGTCAGAAATAAGATGTTGTCTTGGTTATACAGGATCAAAGCGGTACCGGAACAGCATCACGGCTTTCTGCCTGGGGGTTCTACTGCAACAAACCTAGTTGATACCCTATTTGACTGGAACATAGCAATTGATCAGGAAAAATCAATCGATGTGATTTATATTGACCTATCTAAAGCTTTCGATAAGGTTGACCACATTAACTGCTACTAAAAATTGAACGTCTTGGGATATGCGGCAAACTACTAGCTTGGCTTACTTCTTATCTCAAAAACCGATATATGACTGTCAGAGTTGGCTTAGGTTATTCAAGCAAGTATAAGTGCACTAGCTGGGTGCCACAAGCAGGAGTGCTTTCTCCTCTTTCATTTCTAATATACCTAGACCTATGAAGCCCTCAAACTTCCTCAAAACGTCAAACTACAAATTCATGCAGATGACATCAAGCTATATGGTATGTACAATGATAATAATTGCGTTGTCCCAGCATTTAGCCCAATTTGAATGATTGGGCTAAATGCTGGAATTTGACAGTTAATTTGAATAAAAGCCTCGTGCTCCATATAGGCGAGGGAGCTGCTAGGGAGTACAGCGTCAACGGCATACCACTGAGATCTAGCAACAGCGTTGATATAATCAGAGACCTTGGTGCTCTATTCACTTTTCAATCTTTGGTGCTCTATTCACCTAAGATTTTCTGCCCACATTGATCATGCCCTCAAAAAAGCTTATGGTTCTCTTTTTACAATTCTCCGTACCATACACAGTGATAACCCGATAATCTTAACTCGTCTTTATGAGACTTATGTATTGCCTTATCTGTATTACTGCTCGCAAGTCTGGAGCCCCTCCTTCAAGAAACAGGCCTGCAAAATCGAGAAAATTCAGCATACGTTCACTAGATTAGTTTTTCATAGAATGAAGAATAGCGTAGGTTGGCAAAATATGCCCAGCTATAGCGATCGCATTAGGCAATTAGGTCTAACGACATTATTGCATAGGAGAATTGTTTCTGACCTTGTTTTCTGCTATCGAATACTTCGCTTAGAAACTAAACTTTCACCCAGTAAATACTGGATTTTCATGCCCAGTAGAGAGCGAGCCGGAGGTTTCAATCTTCACTATGCGAAGATTATCTGAAGGAACCGAAATCATTTATTCAACTTTGACCTTTACTGTGCGGCTAGGTGGCTTCAAATGTTACCTAATGAGGTAATGACTTCTGAAAATAGCAAGGTGTTCGAGAAAAGGCTGCAACAATTCAATCTGCCTCAAATTTTGGGCTTTGAAAATCTTTACTGAATTCTTTTTAGCCATGATCCATGATTTTCTTCCGTCTGAAGTGAATATTATGTCATAAAGAAGATCTAATACCAGATTCGGCGCGGATGAAATTTTGATACAATTGACATTCTGGTGTGTGTATCACTGATACTTTTTCACCAAATCTGTAAGAAGGAATCACACTGGCTATCTAAGCTGAATCCTGGGTAATTTTTTTTCTTGATTTGATTACAGTGATCACTTGTTCTTGCAGTCTGATGATCCTAAAATGTGTCTAAAGTAATTGTTATCCTCGAAGATTTCCAGAGCACTGCTGCCTAAACTTACACCCGGAAAAACGGCCGGACGAGTTTTACGTCCGCAAGTCGTCCACTTCGTTGTGGGACCACGCGTCCCTTTAACTTCATTTGAATTAGGATACTTCAATAAGAGCGTTTTTTTGCAAGATTATCGCTTTTGTGCGTAATCACAGTTAATATTTTCGAGATCTGCTTCTGCTTAGATTAGGAAACATGAAACCTGAGGTGCAACCGGAAACTTGAACACTTCAAGTGCATCTTTTGTTTTATCATATCC